TGCGTGATGCATAAATACACTCTTACGGGACGCTTCCCTCTCATGTCTGTGTTTCTTGGGTCTGGGCTCTTTGTCCTGGTGCCCCATTCAGGTGAGCCTCTAAGCAAAATTAAAAAAAAAATTTTTTTCCCCTACATTTTATTTTGCAAAATTTCAAACCTATGAAAAGTTGCATGAATAATAACTGAAATATAGTCATTTCTTGTTATTTACAGTACTTATATTCTATGAAGTCACCGTGAACACTGAATTAGCAGATATTGAGCTGTTGCTCCTAGGGTAATTACAGGGTTGAGGTGAGCCTCTGGTCATATTTTTTAACTGATCAATATGTAACCTTGTTTTATGTGTATTTCTGTTTAAAGATGTTTTCATATATTTGACTCATTAGCAACAGCCAACAGCACTATAACGCACGCCAGGATGAAGCTTGTCTAGCACACGTAGTCTCTCCATAAGACGCTGTAACCTTCTTTCACTTAGGAACATTGGACAGCACTCCAGTATTACACTTGGGGACCAGTTTAAATAGCAAAATCACCAAAAAAAGCATGTGACACTAAATAGACTGAGAAGAGGACACTTGTTTACAGTGTCCTTTCAGAGCTGAAACGAGAACGCAGAGTGTTGTCTTGTCCGACCTCAGCAGGTAGACAAGTTCGCAGATACTGAGGCCGGGAATGATGAGGGTGAGCTGTGTGTACTTTTCCCCCTGAGCCATATACTTTTGTTAGAGATAAGGTCCTTCATGCCTAAATACTTTGTCCTGAAACCAAGGACATTCCCCTACGTAACCACAATTCAGTGATCGAATTCAGGAGATGTGACATTGATACAATTATCTAATGCAACGTTCCTGTTCCGTTTCCCACTTGTCCCAATAATGTCCTTTCTAGCAATGCTTTTTCCGCTTCAGGGTCATGTATTGCGATGACTTGTCACATCTTAAGTCTCCTTTAGTTTGGAACGGTTCCTCAACCTTTGTATGTATTTTGTAACATATTTTGAAAGAGTCCAGGCCTGTGGTTTTGTAGAATATCCTCATGGTTTGGTTTCTCTCATGTTTTCTCATTACTACGATCAGGTTGTGTATTTTGGCAGAAATATTAGATGAGATTGTGTCAGGATCCATTTGAAATAACAAGAGTAGTTAACCATTCTGTGCAGATGCTGTTCTAAGCGCTATGCATCCACTGAATTAACCCTCAGCATCCTTAGGAGATGGGTACTATTATTATCTCTATGTTGCAGGTAGCAAAATTGATGCGCGAAGCAGTTAAGTAAATTGCCAGGATTTGAACCTGGAAAGTCTGGCTCAGAGCCTGGGCCCTCGCAAAAGTCTCACTGGGGAGGATTCTGGCTTTGCTTGAAAATTTGGAAGATCCAGCCACACTGGGCCCACCTTCTTGCAAAGCAACAATGAGCAAGAGTGGAATTGCAGCTACCTTCTTTCTGCCCCAGGGTCTGTTCCTGTCACCATCCCCACCACTGTCTTGTCTCCAATGAGGCCAGCTTCACTTAATGTTACTCGCTAGGCCCCCTTAAGCCCTCAAGTTGGAGGTTTTTGTCTGTCCCAGAAACCCAGTGTGTAAAGTGGTTTTCTAACAGAAAGTGCTCTGGCTAAAGTGAAAGATAGGTGGAGCATTGGCAAGCCTAGTGTTTGTCTCCCTCCTCTTCCCCAAGATACTTCCACTGAACCTTCTTTTTTTTCCCCAAAATATTAAGGGGGTACAAATGTTTTTGGTTACACGGATCACTTTTGTAATGCTTGAGTCACAGCTATAAGTGTGCCCATCACCTAAATAGTGTTCACTGTACTGTTAGGTAGGTTTTTTACCTCTCCCCTTCCTTGTCCCTCCTGAACCCTGACTCTTGAGGAGGGTCAGGAGGGTCACAGTTTGGAAAGTGTGGCCTTAAACTCTCCTGTGCAGACGAGGACATGACCCATAGCAGCTTCGTGGGCTGAGTGGGGAAGGGACCTCCTTCCTACTGTAGTGCCTGGGTCCTGCATCGTATGCACCATGATCCACCCTTCTTCCTGGGACGGGGTAGAACTGGGCAGGGACCCTTGTGTGAACCCCCCCCTGCGCCCCAGAGAAGGCCTGGACATCTTTTATACATTCCCCTATGATACCCACCTCACTACTACTGCAGAGACCTGGGGTCCAGCTGGAATAATTTCTGGGCTGTCATCCTGTAGTCTTAGGTGTTCTCTCTCCTAAACTTGCCTAGACTTAAGAATCACCCACTTGGCCAGTCGCAGTGGCTCCCACCTGTAATCCTAGCACTCTGGGAGGCTAAGGTGGGAGAAATAGCTTGAAGTCAGGAGTTCGAGACCAAACTGAGAAAGCGACACCCCGTCTCTACTAAAAAATAGAAAAAAATTAGCCAGGTGTGGCAGTGCATGCCTATAGTCTCAGCTACTCGGGAGGCTGAGGCAGGAGGATCACTTGAGCCCAGGAGTTGGAGGTTGCTGTGAACTAGGCTGATGCCATGGCACTCTAGCCTGGGTGAGACTCTGTCCCCCCCAACAAAGAATCACCCACTTGTGAAATGCAGATTTCCAAGCCCTCCCCCTGGAGATTCTGATTCAAATTGGTCTGGGTGTGTCTCTGGAATCTAACAAGCAGCCAGGTACTCTCACACCCAAGCAACTTAGGCAAACACTGGTAGTTATGAGCATAGTCTCTTTAACTTCAGTTTTATTTATACCTTGAATAGGTTATACATTCACTTAGTTCCAAATACAACAGTGAAAAGTTACTCTCGCCTTTGTTCCCAGGTCCCCAGTTCTCCCCAGAGACAACCATTGTTGCCAGTTTATTGTGTTCCCATCAGTGACATTTTATACATAAACAAGCATACTCTCCCCCTACTTTTTCTTAAAAAATCGTAACCCTCTGTAAGTAAGCCTCTGTACACACTCTCTGCATCCTAAAAGCACACAGACCTAAGCGTAAGCACAGTACTAGCTTGGTGACTTGTGAACTTCTCTGAACCTCAGTTTCCTCCTCTAAAAAGGCGCTAAAAATAACAGGACACCTTACAGGTGATTGGGGAGTGGCAGGAGAGAAGGCTTGTGAAGCCATCGGCACAGGGCCTGGCACAGATTAAGCACTCCATATCGGGGATCACTGTTCATTCTGTGTCCCAGGGTGGCCAGGCTTGGCTTCCTGGTGCCAGAGGTACAGACTGAGAACCACACCCCTGGTGAGGTCACCCCACTTACGATTTAGGGGGCAGAGAGAACCTTGGTAAAGTGAGCATTTATCGAGACTTTGTGCCAGGCACTTGCTGAGGTCTTTATGAACATCACTGTATTTCAGGGTTTCTCAACCTCAGCACTTTTGACTTTGAACCAAATAGTTCTTTTGTAGCATCTTTATGTTGTATTAATAGCATGTTTAGCAGCATCCCTGGCCTCTACTCACTTGATACCAGTAGCATTCTTACCTGCCACTTGTGACAACCAAAAGTGTCAGACATCAACAAACGTCCCAAGGACAGTGGGGGGGTGAGGGTGGGGAGAGAATGACACCCCCAGTTTAGAACCCTGGCTTATTTCATCCTCACAGCACCTAGCACAGTAACCCCAGGTGGTAGGTATTGTTCCTGTCCCACATCACAAGTAAGGAAACCCAGAGAACAGAGTTTGGGTGACATTCCAGGAACACACAGCTCTGGGATTCACACCCAGGCAGTCTGAGCCCAGAGCCTGCCTCCTCCCCATGCAGGAGAAGCCCTTGTCTCAGGAATGTTGTCGAGCTCTTCCTGCATTAACCTCAATACATGTTACTCATCATGATTACATCTGGTATCAGAGCCTCAAAATACTCCTGTGAGCTCTCCTGAGTCCTGTTTTACAGACGGGACAATTGAGATCACCTGCTTAGGGTCACACATCCAGAAAATCAGGAGTTCTCAGCCCCAGCTCCATGCTAGAATCACCTGGGGAACTTTGTGACAGCCCAGGCCTCGCCCAGGTGAATTAGGTGGGAATCTCGGGGACCTGGGCTCTTAAAGCTTTTAAGGCTTCCACAGGATTCCAAGGTTGAGAGCCCGTGTGTTACGCTGAGAAGCCAGGTCAGGAAGTTTTAATCTCCAATCTTGGCGGCCAGTGTGGCGGAATGCAGGCTCTTTCTCCTCTCCGGACTGTCTCAGAGGTCAGAGATCTGCCCTTTCTCCCCCAAGGTGAGCCCAGACAGCCCAGGGGGAGGTCTTCCCTCTTCTCCACCTGCATCTCTCCTGGGTCCCTCCCACCACCCCCCACACTAACAGCCCCAGGCTCACGTCACCAGGTTCTCCTTTATTCTCATGCACTTTGGGATGAGATCACAGGACTAAGGCCACAGCAAGAGGGTCCCTGAGGCCAGCCGGGGAGAGAAGCACTGGCCCCTCTGTTGGCCAAGAATGATCCAGTGCTGGGGGAGTGAGGTACCCTCTGAGGATGCCAAGGGTGTACCCAGAGCTACAGCTCATTCCTCCCTCGGAAGCTGCACCGGTCTCAGCGGTTGGGTGACATGGGCTTGTGTTTCCCCTGAAGCTTTCGTGTTCTCTCTGCAAAGGTGAGGGAGATGGTGGCATTTGAAAGGCTCAGTACCTCAGTGCCCTCTCCTCAAACCCTCACGCCCACCCCAGAAGGGGCTAGGACTGTACCCCACTGGACGGATGTGCAAATGGAGGCCCAGGGCCGACCACCTTACTCAAGGGTGGCAGGGGCGAGCAGACCACCTCACTCCAACCAGGGCTCATGCCAGTCGGCCCAGGGTGCAAACAGGAAGTTTGGAGCAGGACTGGAGTGCGCCAGTCTTCAGTGAAGTAGGTTTTGAGGGGGAGGAACCAAAAAGGACCAACTGGGCTGTAGGAGACAAGAAACTTGACCTCTCTGGTCCTGGCCCGAGCCCTTTGGAGACCCCAGGAGATCTAGGCGTTGTTCCTGGCCCTGGAGCTGCCTTTGCCATGCCACAGGCTGGCAGGTGTGCCCACCCCCTCGCCCGGCATCAATCTCCTTCTTCCTCTGTCTTCTTGAACATGGCCAAGGCTTCCTGCAGCACACCGTCAGGGTCTAGAATTTTGACCTGGAGGGAAATGGAAAGGGGTTGATTTCGGGAGCATGGAAGACCCAGGCTGCCAGCCTCGCTAAGGATGCCCCGACTGAAAACAAAACCGGGTCTGTTCCCTGTCTGGGCTGGACCGGGTGCACCTGGGCGTGGCTGGGAGGTGCTGGTTTCTGTCTCTCTGGGTGTGGCCACAGGGCCGGCGAGGGCTGCTCACCTTAGGAATGGGGAAGTGGGTGGGCTCAGGGGCCTCGTCACGGCCAAAGTCGACCATCGTGCCACATTTGGCCACGTTGTCCACCCAGAAGCCTTCAAACAGCTGCCCGTGGTCCAGGTGGAAGAAACGTCCCGACCCGTTCTTCAAGCCTCGCTCCCAGTAGCCCTCATAGCGGTTTCCGTTCTCTGGTTTGGGGAGGACAGGGAGGGATGTGTGCTGGGCACACCAGACCAGGCTAGGCCACCAGGCGGGGCCCTCCGCCAGCCGTAGAGTGCTGACTTCTGCTATATACAAGTATGAGCTTGTCCTATTCTCAGTGAGCACTTACGTGTTAGGCACCACGCTAAGCACCTTACAGATAGAAACCTCATTTAACCTTCACAATAACTCTAGGAGTTTTATCCTTAGTTTATGGATGAGGAAACCATGGCCCGGTATAAGCAAATGTCCTGAGGCCACACAGCTAGGAAAAACTCAAGCCAGGATCTGAACCCAGGCAGGATGGCTTTAGAGTCTAGACCTTCCGAAATGATGTGCGAGCTGGGCGTGGTGGCGCACGTCTGTAGTCCCAGCTACTCAGGATGCTGAGGCAGGAGACTCACTTGAACCCAGGCCCAGAGAGGCAAAGTAACTTGCCCAGGATTACACACCTAGGGCTAAGAAGGAAAGAAAGTGGATGCTGAGAAGAATGAGAAGAATGTGATTTAGGTGGCATGGACAAGAAAGGTCTCTCTGAGGATGGGACAATGCAAAGATCTAGGGAAAAGCATTCCAGGAATAGGGAACAGCAGTGCAGGAGCCCTGAGGTAGAAACCATGGGAGGAACTGAAAGGAAGTTAGTTTGGCAGAAACCAAGGGACTCCAGGGGAAGAGAAGGGGAGGTGAAGCCAGAGGGGTGAGCAGGGCCAGCTCATGCTGGGCCCCCAAGTCCACAGGAAGGGCCTTGAACTCAGCCTGAAGGCGATAGGCAGCTCTGGAAGGGTTGACAGCAAAGTGGCGATGAGGCCCAATTTGTGTTTTAGAAAGCTCACTCTGGTTGCTGTGTAGAGAGAAGATTCTCAAATCCTGACACCAACACCGGCTTCTCATTAATTACTCTTCCCTCTGCCTGGGACCACCCCTCCAGAGCTCAACGCAAAGGCGTTCCGGCTCCTTCTCTTCCTTCAGGTCTCCCTTCGAAGGTTCCAGTACCTCCTCAGGAGGCATTCCCTGACCCTGAGTCAAGACAGCCCCAGCCGTCAACGCCTTTGTCGTTTCCCAACACACCTTTCTGTTTTCTAAGGAGAATTCCTGAGTGCTTTTGCCCCCACAACCCACAGTTTGCATGAGCGACTGACGTGGCCTCTCTGTGCCTCAGTTCACCTGTAACGCGGGAATGACAGAGCTCCTCTCTTACGGGGTGTGGAGGGGATTAAACGAGCTCAGTGCTGTGTGAGTGCAGGCGACGATTATGGCCCTAAGAAATTGTCTACTAGTTATAACTAGTAGAGTTGAAGCCCTCTGAGGGGAGGGATGGGATCCTATTAGTCACCAAATGCCACGCCCGAGCACGGCTTTGCGGGGGCGTGGCCAGGTAACTTGGCCGGTCGGGGCGTGGCCCGCAAGGCATTAGGGCGGGACTTGTGGAGGCGCGGTCTGCTGGGGGCGGGGCGACCGGGAAGGGAGCCGATGGGGTCGGGGGCGGG